TCTCTCTCTCTCTCTCTCTCTCTCTCTCTCTCTCTCTCTCTCTCTCTCTCTCCATACATATATATATATATATTCATGTATTCATATATACATATATATGTATTCATTCAAGTCTGGTCATATACTTCCCTGGCATAGGCCAAAGCAGCTTTATTCAGTAATCAATAAAAGCAACAAATATGCAGAAGAACATTCCACATCAACTCTGTGACATATGCATCTACTCTTGTCTGGGATTCAGCCTCTAGCAGTCCTGGGCTTGGAAGAAATCCATGGAGTTAGTTTACTATTACTTTTTATCTGAAGGGATGAGGGGAAATACACTCACACACTCTCTTGATGTTTTGGTTTTCTAATCTGTAGTCTGTATTTTGTGTCTCCTAGTCTCTGAATTTATTTTCCTTCTACAGCTTATATACTGCAACAAGATCTTTCAGGTAATATAAAAATTACAATGTGGTTTTATAATTTATTTTTCAAATGAATGATTATACTGAATACAGGATAAAACATGTTTTTCATCTCTCTTACATGATTAAAACTAAGTAATCCTAAGAATCTACATACATTTACATCTAGGTATCTTGCAGATTAACAGGGTATGAGCAAGCAAAGAATTTTGCTCAGCAGGCAGGCTGCATATTGTGTTTACAAAGAGTCAACACTTTATTATTTATCTTGAAAGGTAATCTTATAAGGAATCTCAAAAGAATCACAAACCTACACTTTTACTTATGAAAAACAATCAGTCAGCTCATCAACAATTTTTGTATCAGGGAATTGGTGGCAGAAATGTGTGCAAGGAAGCCATCATCACCTTTGATCAACAATCAATCATAGGAAGGAAAGTATGTTAGCTAGTAATAATTGGACTATTTGTTTTTTGATTCCCTTACCTAATGAATCTATTCCTTAGTTATGTGCCTTTGTGATCTTTAGGCTGTTTTATAGGGTTTTTCATCTCAAAACTATTACCAAAATATCTTAATATAACCTGAAATTATTATTATTATCATTAGTTTAGGTAACTCAAAGTCTTCTTACATAACATTGGTTTATTCTTTTTGTTACAAATCCCTTTTTTATTATATAATTATACCACAATATTTCTCCACATGTGAATATATGGTATGTTTCTAAGTTTTGACACTTATGAGTTTTTGACAATTATGAAAGCTATCATGCCAATTCATGAACAAGTTACTGTGTAAACACACATTTTATTTCTTTTTAGTAAATATCTTTTGTTAGTGTCTTATGGGTCCTTTTCTATTTTCTGCATGTACAACATATAACATATACACATGATTTCTTGACTGCATCCACAAGCATTTCTCATGGCTAGCTAATGTATATTTCATTCATAATGTATCTAACCTGTTCTGTCTGTGTCCTACAACCCACTGAGTTTTATTTATCTTTATTTCTCTTAAATTTTTATGGTAAATTTAAATATTCCATTTCTCCTCTCCTAATTTCCAAGATTCAAACAAGTGATTTATTTTGCTAAAAACTGATCCCTTTGAAATCTCAGTTCCATGTAGCATGTGTGAGTTTCATTCTCTCTCTGGTTTTTTGTCAGAGTCTCATTAGCTAAGACTAGACTTAATCTCCCTACATCATGAACTGTGATAATATTATCTTCATTACTAAAATATTGGGACTCGAATTGTGCCCCACTATACCTGGTTGGATTTATTATTCAGGATATGCATTTTGAGTACATTTCCTTTAACTAGTAAGGGAAAAATTGGCTAAAGTGTTTCCATGATCATTTATGGTATTTTTCAAACTCCTGCTAACACCTCAGCCTGAGTAGGAATCTGATTTCTGCCAGTTTTTTACAGGATTATATTAATTATTAATTAACTGCCTTTTGACTTCTGGTTTTGCTAACATAACCGAGGTTCAACTGGAACACACAGTCTTTTTTCTGTTTTAGCATGTTTATTAATTGCTATGTCTTCTAACTTTTTAAATTTTTTTATTTTGAGCATTTAGTTTTTACAAAAGGGGAATTATGGCTTCTAATCTATCATCATGTAGAAACCAGAGTTGCTATGCATGCAAGGAATTCAGTAGATTATTATGTTTCAGTGAAGACCCATTAACTGTGAAGTGGTGGGAGGTGGGAAAAAGAGAAAGGGAAAACAGCCCAAAACATTAGTTATAGGCCCTCATCTGTGACTGTACTACAAATCTTCCCTTTCTCCTTAAGGCGCAAGCAAATTTGTACTTGTTCCATGTGCTACACACTTTTGTTTCTACATATCCCATTAACTGACAAAATGTAAGTGGGAAAGCAGGTTTAGCATAAAATAATTCCTTGGAAATATTGAAAATCAGTTCTATGTCATTACCAAATATTATGAGAGTGGAACAAGATAGGAATTTTGGTATGACCAAGAAACCATTTCTTATTAATGAGCTCAGAGAAAAAAACATTTTAGTGATGAAATTGTGAGCAATAGTTTCTATATTCTTCATGTAGAATAGTATAGCAATAGTTCCCATAGTCTTCTTATGGAATAGTATAGTAATGTTGACTAAGGTTGCTGTCCCACCAGGTCCCAAGATCATTCAGTCCCAAAGAAATCACAAAGAGGTCAACATTAACTATAAACTGATTGCCTATTATCTCAGGCTTCTTATTAACTCTTATAACTAATATTAGCCCATAATTCTTGTCTGCGTTAGCCACACAGCCTGGTATCTTTTTCAGCCAGGCTGTCACATCATACTTCCTCTGTGTCTGGATGACGACTACAGACTGACTCTCTCCTCTTCCCAGAATTCCCTGTGCACCACCTCTGCTTCCTGCTTGGTCGTCTCGACTATACTTCCTGTCTGACTTCTATCCAAACAGCATTTATTTAAAATACAAGAGACAGGGTACAGACCATTGTCCCACACAGTAATGGTTCCCATATTCTTTATATGTTCTCCATACAGAATTTTCAAAACCATGATATTTCAGTGACGGCTCAAAATTTTAAAAAATGCCCATTGTTTTTGTTCTTTAGTGACTCGAAAATAGCAAATTTGAATCATAAAACCGGAAGATGTGCATTTTTATCTAGAGCAAAACTGGATAATACTAAGTGTGAAAATCACAACCCCTGTATCTGTGAGATGAGAATGTACTAATTCCCCAATTCACCCTCCAGCAAGAGGTAAAGGTAAAATGGGAAGTGTTGATCCTTATTTGCTTCTTGTAATAATCTGTGATTCCTTATGAAAAAGTGTTTTGATTCCAGGATTTTGTGCTCTGAGCAAATGGAGAGATGTGCTGGAAGAGGTTGAAAACATTCTCCGGAATCTGACTTGACAGAGCAGAAGTCATCTTTTTTCCTGGAGGGGTACATCTTCTCAGAACATGGACACCCCATTACCACAAGCCCCTGAAGAAATTACCCTTTCTAATGTTTTTACATACCCATAGAACTAAATAAAGAACCCTCATAAACATTCTGAGTTTTCATTATCAATACGATAAATCATCTTAATTGAAAGTGAAATTAAGAACTACTATGCAGTTTTGGGCTTCAATTTCTTAGTTGTTAGTTGATTTCTGTTCTGTTTTGTTTGTGTGTTTTGTTTCATGTAAAAGGTTTCTTCACTGGTATAAACATTTCTTTTGGCCATCAAATATAAGTTCAAATTTGGTGAACAGTTGCAAGGATAGTTCAAGGAACTGCTGACTATATTTTATCTAAGACATCAGTTGTTCTACCCACTCTTCTTTAATCCATCTATCATTAGTTGAGGCCTTATAGAGATGGTGGTAATAATTGAAGATTGCTAGATGTAGTGGCTTACACTTGTAATCTTAGCAATTAGGAGGTTAAGACAAGATTGCTGGAGGCCAAAATGAATACAGGGAGAGCCTATGTCATAGAACCAAACAAACCAAATAAAATTGAGTCCTGAATGTTCCTAAATATTTTCAAGGGACAACAATTCATCTTATGCAACCATACCCAAAACCATACCAAACTCAGAACATCTAACATTGGTACAGAAATTTATTCTAATCTAGGATCCGTATCCTCATTCACTGATTGTATAATGTAACTCTGGGTATTTTCTCTACATTCAGGTTCACTAACATTCAGTGCTGATGTCATTTTAGTGTCCTTTAGTCCTGAATAGTTTTGTTTATTTTGTTTGATATAAATTAAAAATGAAACTACAGAATGAATAATATTGCTATTAGATAGATGCTAAAACCCACCACTCAGGATATTTGGGTATTTTGCTTATAGGAAAATACCACTCATGAAGAATTTTGGCCACTACCTGTGAAATTGTTAGTACTGCCACATTAAAGACTATGTTATGGTATACAGGAGTTATGCAACAGACTAAAATTGTCTCATATATTTTCAAAAATTTCATTCTTATAAAAAACTGATATTGTACATTATTTATTCTAAGCACTGACTTCATTAGTTCTGCAAACAGTCACTGTAAATATTGTTGAGATAGTTTGCATGCTTTTTTAAAATAAAATTCAATTTTAGTGTGTATTACATGTTTATGGCATCTCTAAATCTAGACCAGGCACATCTGAGTTACCCAGAGCCTGTTGGTGACCAAGAGTCACCATATTGAATAAACAGCTCTGAGTGATAGTCAACACAGTTTATGCCTACACTTTATTTATGTAGATTACAATTGTGGCAAAGTGTTCTACAAACATCTAACAGAGGCCTATACTTTCTTTTTTTCTGTATCTCAGCCTGTAACTATTTTTTTATAACTCCACCTTTAAGACCAAGTCTTACATGCAATCTTATATAGTTTAATGAGACAGGGTCTTTCTGTGTAGCTCTGAATGTCTTGGAACTCACTGTGGATTTTAGGTTGGCTTCAGATTTATAGAGATCTATCTGCCTCTGTCTCCCTAATGCTGGAACTAAAGGGGTGAGCCATACCCAGCTCCAAATCATATTTTTCATCATGCTTAAATTACACAATTGTGTATGAGCACAGTTAACTTCTTAAAGTTATCATCTATTCATGTTCTGAATTGCTTGCAAGCTCTTAACATTCTCCTTCTTTAGAATGATTAAATCTTATCTCTCTGGAAGAAAGAGAAACACCAACTGTAGAAGTTGTTGATGATAGGGTTCAGAGAGCTGAACACATATCCCTGACCAGGCTACGTTATACCTTAGAGAAAGATTATGGTAACAGAATCCATCCTTTGATAAGATACAACCCCAATCTATAGGCAGATTTTGGACTGTGACAAAACAAGTTCTAAATGAAAGGAACAAAGGAGGGAATGGAAAAAGTTTCCTTTTAAAAAGTATTCAAACAGGAAGTAGAGGCTGGGCAATGAGAACAGGAGAATTCTGGGAGGGAGGGAGGAAGCCTATTCCTCACCAGTCCTATCCAGACACTGATGAAGGAAGATGTGATTACCCCTCTGAAAAACATATCAAACCATGTCGCTAACATAGAGAAGAATAATGGCTTAATATAAGTTATAAGAGTTAATTCAAAGCCTGAGCTAATGGGCCAGTTTATCATTAATATAGAGCGCTGTGTGATTATTTGAGGCTAAATGATTCTGGGACTTCGTGGGAGGACAGAAACTAGGTAGGACAGAAATTTCAGGCAACAGCTACCTGCCTACTGGTGTGTGGCCTCTTGTACTATATATGCCAATGTAGAGTATGCCTCAGGCCTCTTTTTTCCAGCTGTGGGATCCAGTTTCTGATCTCCATTCAAGAAAAGGATTCTGATTAGTGAGTCTACCCCTAAATAAATAACCATCTATTTCTCAATTATGAGCTAGTATGGGATTTCTTTCAAGCATCCATCTTCATTTGTTCATTACATGGATTCGGACTCCATGCCTACCGGGTGGACGGCCTAATGGCCTAACCTGTCCATGGTCCAGACAATCTCCCTACCATCCCTGCTTGACTTGCTTTTACCTAAGTGATTTTTTTTGTAGAGCTCCACCACAGCAGAATGTACTGCATGTGAAACCTGGAAATTTCCCAAGTGCACACACAACTGCCACATTTCCTGGTTCAGTTCCTTGCCACATAGCAGCACGTGCAGCTCTTGTTACTGCTCCCTGCCTGTGAGTTGTGGTTTTCTTGCTCCGTGTATGGAATTGATTTAATTGCTTTTAGTTTGTCAAGCAAAACATATTTCTCAGTATTTAACCAGTACCAAGGAAGAAAACTAAAGCAGTTCGGAGACTGAAGCGTCCCAGGACCATTTCAGTCCCCACTGGTTGCATTGGTACTAGTCAAAACTCTGTAACCACAGCATCTGCTGGACAATAAAGATTACAGTTTACCAATTAACACAGCACGTAATTAATAAATCAATATGTCAGACTACATTAATATTGAAACTTTTAGTAACTTTTTCCTAATACTATAGATTGTATTATGTGAAGTTTATAAAGTTATGGTGATACTTCAATTTATTGAGATTGGGACTCAGTTTTCCTCTCCATTTCTATCATTAAGAAAGAATATGGCACTTTTAGGAATGATACAGTCTTTAGATACTAGCAATGAACAGCTAGTTGACAGGAATAATACCATTTAAAGTCAAAAGTTACGAGACAAAATTAATATTATTTAAAGCGATAACTTTAATTTGATGGACAAAATTGATTCCAGACAACAGCCTCCAGCACAATCAGGAAAAGCATCTGAAAGCCAGAAGTGGAGTCTGAAGCAAGAGCTCGAATGGAGGGCTGCTGCTGCTTTTTTTTTAATTAATTAATTTATTTATTTATTAAAAATTTTCACCTTCTCCCCGCCTCCCTTTTCCCTCTCCCTCCCACTTCCCCCTCCCTCTCTAGTCCTGAGAGCAGTCAGGGTTCCCTGCCCTGTGGGAAGTCCAAGGTCCTCCCCCCTCTATCCAGGTCTATAAAGGTGAGCATCCAAACAAACCAGGCTCCCACAAAGTCAGTCCATGCAATAGAATCAAAACCCAGTGCCTTTGTTCTTGGCTTCTCAGTCAGCCCTCATTGTCAGCCACATTCAGAGTGTCCAGTTTGATCACATGCTCCATCAGTCCCATTCCACCTGGCTGTGGTGAGCTCCCATTAGATCAGTCCCACCATCTCAGTAGGTGGACGCACCCCTTGTGGTCCTGACTTATTTGCTCATGTTCTCCCTCCTTCTGCTCCTCATTTGGAACTTGGGAGCTAAGTCCAGTGCTCCAATGTGGGTCTCTGTCTCTATCTCCATCCATCGCCAGATGAAGGTTCTATGGTGATATGCAAGATATTCATCAGTATGGTTATGGGACAAGGCCAGCTCATGCACCCTCTCCTCTACTGCCCAGGGAACAATCTGGGGATCTCTCCTTGGACCTGGGAACCACTCTAGAGTCAAGTCTCTTGCAAACCCTAAAATGACTCCCTTAATTAAGATATTTACTTACCTGCTCCCATATCCACCCTTCCTCCATCCCACCCATCCCATTCCCCCAAAGCTTTCTCGAATCCTCCCCTTCTCCCGTCTCTCTACCCATCTCCTCTTTTTTTTTTAAGTAAATTTTATTAAATTATAAAAGTTTCCATTTCCGCCCCCCCTCCCACTCCCCCCACTCCCCCTCCTCCTCCCTCTTCGTCCCCCAGGGCAGTCAGGGTTTCCTGCCCTGTGGGAAGTTCCAGTTCCTTCCCCCTCCCTCCAGGTCCAGGAAGGTGAGTGTCCAAGTTTCCTCTACCCATCTCCTCTTACATCCACCTGTGCACCTAGTGTTGCCTGGCAATCTTGTCTACTTCCAATATCCAGGAGGATAACTATATGATTTTCTTTAGGTTCACCTTCTTATTTAGCTTCTCTAGGATCACAAATTAAAGGCTCAATGTCCTTTAATTATGGCTAGAATCCACTTATGTGTGAGTACATACCGTATTCCTCTTTTTGGGTCTGGGTCACCTCACTCAGTAAAGCGTTTTCTACTTCCATCCATTTGCATGCAAAATTCAAGATGCCATTTTTTCCCCGCTGAGTAAAACTCCAAGGTGTATATGTTCCACACCTTCTTTAACCATTCTTCTATTGAGGGGCACCTAGGTTGTTTCCAGGTTCTGGCTATTACAAATAGTGCTGCTATGAACATAGTTGAATAAATACTTTTGTAGTATGATAGGGCATCCCTTGGGTATATTCCCAAGAGTGGAATTACTG